ACCTTCTCTATATTTGTGCCACTTGCTTGATAGATTATCTTTCGATTACTAAGATAGTCTGATACTACTTCATATATGTTTGCTGGACACTTTGCTGTTCTTAAGGTCTTTAAGATGAGGGGCCACCATGCATGGTCAAAGGCCCCTCTAATATCCAAACTTATGCCGCAACAATACTTATTTTGATCCAAGGTTCTTTTGATACCATCGACGACTTTGCAAATTACATCCTCCGTTGAGGTATTCGGTAGGAATCCATGCTGTTTTGGACTTAGATACTTCAGTTTAATCAGATGTTGTGTAATTCTCTGGCTTATAAGAAAGTCCATCACCTTCCCCATTGTCGGAAGTAGACTCAGGGGTCTGTAGCTTTTAGCTAGACTCTTGTCCACTTGATCACCTTTGGGAATAATAACCAATCTCGCAATCTTCCAAATCTTTGGGAAGATCCCAAATCTTAGGCACAAATTGTAAATACTGCTGAGATAATTGGGGCTTATTTCCCAGATCTTATGGATTACTTCTGCAACCATTCCGTCGTGTCCAGGTGCTTTCCCTGGTCTGAGTCGTTGTACAGCGTTCTGAATTTCTTCAATAGTAAATGTCGGATCAGTCGGCCCAATGTATGGTCCGATTATTTCCTCTCTTATTTGTTTATGCTCTGTCATGTCATTATTGTGGTCATCATTTGGGAAGAACTCTGTCATAAGAGTTTGTACCGTCTCTTCATATCCTTCTGTGTACCTGTCATTAACATTTAGTGCTGTAAGGTACTGAGGTAGCTTCAGCTTACCCGCACTTGCCTTATAAATATAGTTCCATGGTTTACTAGAACTTCTAGTGCAAAACTCCTTCCAGGATTTAATTTTAATTTCTTTAATTTTTCCTTTATACAATTTACAATGTTCTAAGTATTCTCCTCTTTTCCTCCTTCTCTCCAGATTATCTCTCGCTCTTTGATATCTTCTGCGGAGTTGATTGTTAATTCTCCGCATTTCCCCTAACTCCTTTGTCCACCACGGAACTGTTCTTCTCCTATTTTGCTTTTTTGGAATGGTCATATCGCATATTTCTACTACCGTCATATGAAACCTTGTTATTTTGTTTTCGGCTTCTTGCCTATTTTGTATTTCATTCAAGCTTATGTTTTCCATAGCTCTTTCCAGTTTTTCCTGAAAGAGCTTCCAATCTGCTCTGTTGATAGCATAATGTGTCATATCATCTTCTGCAGTCCATCCACTTTGTCCAATTGTCATGAAGATATAGTTATGGTCACTGAGACTTGAAATTGGAGAAACAGCCCAGCCTTGAACTAGTCTAAGTGCTCTGTTATTGCACATTGTGATATCAATCCAGCTGCGGCCTGTTGGCCCTTCAAAGGTTGGCTGTGATTCAGGATCATTTAATATGTGCATCTCATTAGAGCTGACAAAATCCAACAACAGTTCTGCTCGCCCATCGTCGTTGGGATCGCCCCACAACTGTGAGTGGGCATTCAAGTCACCTCCTATAACTATGTTTTTATGTTTGAAATGTCCAATCAATTCATCTAGTTCACTTAAAAGGGGACCTAAGTCCTCTGTTATTGGGCAATAGATACTTATCAATAAGACACTATTGTTTCCACGTCCAACTTCTATACACGTCATTCTACTATTGCTCCATTGCGTGTAGTATACAACTGGTATATTTTTATTGTTCACTATTATCAATGTCTTCGGCGTCTCACAATGATCATATAGTATTCGGTATGATACACGTAGGCAGCCCGGTGTTCCTCTTGGACAGTAGGGCTCCTGTACTATGGTAATATCTACTCTTTCCATTATCTTGCATAACATAGAAGTGGCCCCTATTGATTTCTGAGTGTTTACTTGTAAAACTTTAATCGTTTGAAGCTCTTCTAGATCAGTTAGAGCCATAATCTATTTTGGCTATTATCATTCTTCTCACTTTCTGAATTAGGGGACACTTTTTGTCGCACGCATTATGGCATGTATCCTTCAACTTCTCCCTCCTACAGTTACAGCAATCGGCACGTCCTTTATTCGGGCATTCTTTAAATCTATGTTGTTGTCCGCATTGGCTGCAGACAATGTCTTTCTCTTCGCAATTCTTAGCAATATGTCCCAGCTTACAGCATTTGTAACATTGTGTAACGTTTATATACTCTTCTATGCCACATCTGGACCATCCCAGATTAATTTTCTTTTTTGGCAACAATACTTGGCGCACTCTTGGGCTAACCTCTGCTACCCAATTTACTGTCTGTTTTTGTCTATTTCCATACTTAAATTTCAATTCTACTTCTTTTTTATAGTCTTCAATATCTAGATTACAGTTCAATATGTCATTCTGTTCAAATAAGCATTCCTCTACTTCTTCTTTTGAAGCGTCCTTAGATACTCCATAGATAACTATCCGAGGTCTTCTCTTCACTGGCTCTCTAGTCTTCAGGCCAGTCTTTTCTTCTATCTCTCTTCTTAACTTCTTCTTTTCTTCCTCAGTACTGACTTCTATCGCGATACCACCTCTTCTCAATTTTCTGACAGCCTGAATTCCCACTCCCAGCTGTCTTGGATTAACGTTCTTCTTTAATCTATCTTTAGTTCTTTCTGGGTCTTCACCCTCCCGCTCCGGCTCCACCAATATTATCTCCTTGGGCTGCTGTTTCATCTTTTTAGCTGCTGCTTGAGCATAACTTTGTACAGGCACTGTCGTAGAAAGGACCTTGTCAAGTTTTGTGTTAATAGAGTCCATTACATTTCTCAGTGGATCTTCTTCACTTTTCCTTATTATGTTGATGATCTTTTCAATTTTCTCGTAGATGAACGCTGCATGCTTTGACGTCATCTTACATGTGCTGTTCATTGACATGTACTCTTGTATCTCATCACGGATACTTTCCGCGAACATCACTCTTTCTAGCTGCAGAGACACCTCCATCTCTTGGGAGGATGTCTCGTCGTCTGTCTCAGAGACTTTAGGCCTTTTGGCCATAGTCCTTAAAAGGACTGTTTGAATGTGTTCAACTTGTCGCAGTTACTGATTAGTTTCGCCCACTAGGGGCTACTCACAGGCAGGACCACTGGGAGGTTCAGTAACCGCTTCCCCTATGGCTTCGTTATAGCGCAAAGTAAAAAAGAGCACAATCTAAAGGCACGAGCAGGCCAAAAATAGACGCAAAACTCACCAATTAACGCAACGAAACGAATTTGGGGCACCCTGCCCAGAATTTGAATACAGTAGAGTGTCGTTTATCTGAATCAATTGGGGACTGGGGTTGTTCGGATAACCAATTATGTACGAAAAAATATATTAACTAGTGATGCCACGAATAGTGATTTTGCCGAATACCGAACATTCGGCTACGCTCTTGGCCGAAGCGCCGAATATTCGGCGGCCGAATGTTCGGCAAAATATGTGTACATTTCGCGGGTGATATGTTACGACCTGATACATTGCGGTCGGTGCGGTAGCGACACTGCGGGCACATTTGTTTTATTTGCGAGTAGATCATGTCACAACATGCATTATTTGTTCATTGTTACATCAAATTGCGTTACTAATTATTACTAAAAAAAATATCACTGTATCACTTTATATGAAAACTGTTCGCCTAGATCTGACGGCAGACCTTTACAAGTGGTGGTCAGCAAACGCAAAACAGTATCCAAGCCTGACAGAATTCGCTAAGATTTATCTATCGTCTCCCGGCAGTAGTGTATATAGTGAGAGGCTATTTTCAGAAGCAGGTATAGTTTATGAGGAAAAGCGCAATCGTTTGCTATCAACAAATGCTGAAAAAATTGTTTTCATTCATTACAACTTATCACTGATAGATTTTAAGTATTAAATGTAATAATTTATGATTAAAATAAATACATTTTTGAGTAATATGTGCGTTTTTTTTTTTTCATGATTCGATATTCGGCCGAATGTTGCATACTATTCGGCCGAATACCGAATATTAAAAAAAGTAGCCGAATAGGCCGAATACTGAATAGTAGCCGAATATTCGTGTCATCTCTAATATTAACCTATCCTGTGTTGAAATTTTTCTCCGTTGAGTGTCACTTCGCATTGAATTTTCGTCGATGTTAAGCCTAATGTAAACTTTTTAAAATAATAATCATGGCTATTGTATCGTTAAAAATTATTTATTTATTTTTTACAAACAAAATAAATATATTGAAAAATATAAAAACAAAAAAAATTATACTTTAGAAGTTAATCTAGTATCAAAAACGTTTGATTCAGCACAACACACAGTCCTTAGAAAAACACCACACAAAAGTGCCAGTGCTGCCAGCTAAAACACACATCAACCAAAAAAATATTGGAATAGCCCAAGATATAGCTAAAGATTGTAGCGCCACAGCACTAGCAAAAATTAAAATTTGCTGACTGGAATTGTTTCGGATAACCAACTTTCGTATAAACGACTCTCTACTGTAATTTTTTATAACGAATTTTAAATAAAAAATAAAAGATTAATAATATTCTTAAACATTATATTTATAACTTAATTTTACAATTTAACAGAATTTAATTATAAATTTGCAATTTATATGTATGTATGTATATATAAGTGTCTAGATATTTCAGTTTATTTATATTTTTCCCCCTCCTCTTTATTTTCATTTTTTTTATTATTATTTTTTTTAATTCTATTTCTCAATTTGGAAATTTTAACATTTTATTTATTTAACTGTAATTATTCTAGTTTTGAGTTTTATTATAAAATAGTAACAACTGTTGTCAATTTTCTACAGAATATTTTTCACATTTATTTTTAATATTTGGAATTTGCTGTCAGCTGCTTATTTGTTGTTGTTATTGAAAGTTGATGTTTTGTTGATAATGTAATGAAAATATACTAAAATAATATAAATATCTGTTATCTGATCTGAATTATATAAGTATTTTACAAAAAAAAATTTAATAATATGAACATTTTAAAAAGTTATAGTACTAACTATTTTATAATTTTTATATAGCTGTTCCACTTCCACCTAGTCATAAATTGACAGCAAGTGAAGTATTTGATTCAAGGACAGGTAAACCACAGGTAGAAGTTTTAAAACAACATTTCATATTAGAAGGCAGATTGGAAGAAAGTTGTGCTTTACGCATTATCAATGAAGGTGCTGCAATTTTGAGAAAAGAGAGCACAATGCTTGACATTGATGCTCCAATAACAGGTAATTTTGAAACATTTGTAATATGACACTATGATGTTCATATGACTGCTAGTTAATGTATTTACATTTAATCAAAATATAATAAACTTGTGGAATAAGAAACTTTTATTTGTGATTAAAATTTTTATTATTATTATTCCATTCAGTTTTATTGAGTATAATATGAATTTTAAGATGTTACCATTAAATATTTATATTAGAAAAGCAATAAAAGAAATTATTTGGCATATATATTAAACTCATTCATTGCAATTGATTCTTATCATTTTCCCAAAATCCCTATTCTAAGTTTGCCTTAATTTTAGGCTAAAATCTAATGGTACCTGAGAAAAAATTAAATAGATGTTTCAATGTAATTATAATGCTATTAAAAGTACTTGGTATAAAATTTTACACAAAGTGCTTTTAACTATTAACACTGAAAAGTATTTTTTAAAATACACTTCTGATAAATTAATGAATTTTTGTTACATTTTCTTTATCTTATAGCTACAGTTTTACTTTTTTTTCTTAAAGAAAAGGTATTCTGAGCCTTAATTGCCGGTTACAACTTTGAAATTTAGACATGGTGTAATAACAACTTTCAAATCAAAATCATTAAAAATATTGACTACCTGTTTTGTTAGGGAGCAGTCATCTGTTATATATCATTACTTTGCAGTTATAAATAAATTTAAGAGTAAATAATAAAATTATTGATTTGCCTGGTCTTTTTCAGTATGTGGTGACATACATGGACAATTCTATGATTTAATGAAACTATTTGAAGTTGGTGGCCCACCTGCCTCTACAAGATATTTATTTCTTGGGGATTATGTAGACAGAGGTTATTTCAGCATAGAGGTAAATTATAATTATTTGAAATTTAAATGTTACATAGATGCACACATATACATATATGTGTTTGTGTGAAAAATTGTCATTACTTTTTTATTAATAACAAAAGACATTATTGTATTTGTATTGTATACTCCAATATATAAAAAGAAAATATGGAATAATCCTTGAATATTGCATTAAATATTTAGACTATTTTCTTTATTAAATACTCATATAAATAATATCTTATACAATAAGTTTTATAATTTTTATACAAAATCATAAATATAAAAATTACAGACTACAATGTGATAGTGTGACACCCAGAATACGGCAATACTCTAGGTGTAACTAAGGAAAAGATTAAGATTCTGATTGAGATGGGAATTTCAAGATTGTTGATTGCATTATACAGGGATGCACAACCTTTTGTGAAGAAGGGCCAAATTAGGATTAAGTTTACTGACTGGGGGCCGGACCTCCAAGTGATTAATGCGATGGCTGAGATTGGATGCTGGCGGCAATCTTCTTCATGTCTGGTGTAATGACAGATGTTGAAACAACTAGCAGATTTTCCAAATTCTCGTTGATTAACCTGTTCCGTGTTTTGCACTTGTTTAAATTCATAAGCGAAAACTTGCAAGCTTGTTTGGCAGTACCTATGTATGCCTGTTCGCATACATAGGTACTGCCAAACATGCTTGCACAAAATCGAGCATTGTCTTTCAGTTTTGGAAATGATGTATCTGGCAGTTCTTTGTAGAATGTGAGGAGATTAGAATTTTTGAACTGTGATTTCAATTCATCACTGCACTGGATGTCTATCAACTCAAGTTGGACATCTGGAGGGGCATCTTCCACTTTCACATCAAATGGAGTTGAAAAAAGTTGCAGGTAGATCTTGT